CCCTCCAGCTTGTCGGCCACGTCCGTCCAGAGGTGGGCTCTCTGTGCCTTGGGCTCAGTAGCCCAATGCGGGGTGAGGGTGCCGTGAACCGTGGCCAAGCAGTCGATGTGCAGCTTGTAGTCGCCGCCCGCGATCTTGTCCGTCGGAATTTTCAACGCGTGGTCCTCTCCGCCTCGCGGAAGTTGCTCAGGCGCTGCTTTGAATGGCACTGCCCCCAAGCTGCTGCGACGAAGCGCCTGCTGGAGTTCTAGAGGGTGGCCGACCAGCCAGCTGCATGCAGCTTGGGGAAATTGCGGTCGAAGCCCCAGCCGTTTACGAAACCCAACCAACCAGTGTCCAGCACGACGCCGTGCACCTGAACTCCATGTTCCCGGCGCGGGCAGGCCGCTGGAATAGCTCTGCCACATCGAAGAACATGCCCCTGACAAAGAGGTCGAGCGGGCACCCTAGCTCCTTGACCTTCTCCGCCGACAGCTCGAGGTCGGGGTCGACGGCGTCGCGACGCCAGGCCGCGTGCGCGTCGCGCGCGAAGCGCTTACGGCAGGTTCGTGTCGTGCCGACCCCAGCGTTGATTTTTGACACCGCAGGGATCGTTCAACCTTGAACGATCGGCCGCTGCCGCAACGTCCGATCGTTCAACATCGATCGATTCTGGGTCGCCGGCGGCGTTCAACCTTGAACGTCCGCGCTGGGGTCGCCGCTGGTCGACACGACGCAAACCTACCGTATGGTACAGCGAGCCATTGGCCCTGCCGCAGAGCTGGCAGTTCGTCGGGATGGAGGGCCCCCTGGCGCCAACACGGTCTTCCAAGATATGCGACGTCCTGATTTGTTTTGGACGGCGCCGCTGGCCATCCCGACCCTCTTCCCAGGACCAGGTTTTCGCCCCGAGTCGTTGTTTGACGGTCGCGAGGCCCGGCGAGGGCCCCTGGGGCCGAAGGAAGCGAAAAAAAACCTCCCGTCCTGATTTTTGCACGACGCGATCATGTACGGGTTGGCACCAGTAGACGTTCTGGATGAAACCCCCCAAGGCCCTCTGCTGACGATGGGCCCCACGCGCCCGACCGGTGGCGCAGCAGCTGCAGGGCTGGCCCCCGCATCGGGCCCAGACCCCAGGCCCACATCCTGGGGACCCTGTCGGTAGGCCTCCTCCCCTCTCCTCCTCCCCCTCCCTCTCCTCCTCCTCCCCCTCCTCCTCCTCCTCCTCCTCCTCCTCCACCTCTCCTAGTCCTACTCCTACTCCTACTTTTTCCTCCTCCTGGCTCGTCCTCATAAGTAGCTCCTGCCTGTCCCACCGCCGCCTCCTCCTCCTCCTCCTCCTCCTCCTCCTCCTCCTCTTCCTCCTCCTCCTCTCCCTCTTCCTCCACTCGGTGGCCCCCCTGCGCTCCAGCAGCACGAGCTTGCCGAAGAAAGCCGGGGAGCGCCGCCGCACGTCGCAGGCGTTGCCGCGGGTGTCGCGGACGACGTGGGGGTGGCCGCCGGCGCAACCCCGGCAGATGCGGCAGAGCGTGAGGACCATCGCCGAGGTGAGGTCCTTCGCCAAGGGGGCTCGCGCTTCGCCCCCCCCCCACACCCACTGTCCACGTCGTGCCGCACGACGAAAGGGTAAACGACCTGCGCCGCGTCCCCGTGTCAGCACGGCGCCGCCGCCTCCGCCAGCCCCGCAGCGCCAGCCTGGCTGGCCAGCGCAGCGCGCAGGCCAACCGCGCGGTCGACCCGCCGCGCGGTCGACCCGCAGCGCGGTCCTTCACCAACCTCCGCTAGGGCTCCCAACTTCGCGCTTCGCGCTACGCGAAGAGCGAAGCGCGAATAACTTCGCGCTCTCGCGCCGCCCTCCCAAAGGGAGAATAGGAGGACGAGGAGGAGGGGGAGAAGGAACGAGGACCGCGAAGCGCGAAGCGCGAATAACTTCGCGCCCTCGAGGGAGCCCTTGCCTCCGTGGATGCTGCGCCTGAGCCGTTTGCAAGCCTTTGGAAAGGCACGTCCTGGTCACTCTCTCCGTGACGAGGCAGGCCCAAGTCGCCTCCACATGGGACACGACGGCCTGCTCGGCTGTGATGGCCAGCGGGTCGCGACGCGATCCTTCCCAGTGCGATAGGCTGGCAAACCGCAGGAGGAGGAGGCGGCGGAGGAGGGGGAGGGGGAACGGGGGGAAACAGTCCCCGTGACGATGCTAAAGGAAGCTCTTCCGACATAGGCAATCCGCAGACATGCTCGCAATTGCCACCGCCTTTCTAAGGTGTGACGCAATGCCCGCCACTGCGCGGAATCTGAACCATCAAGAACACAGCTCGCTCAAACATTCGAACGCCCACACCGCCCTCGCGTCAACAAGCTTCCCGACGTTGCACGCTTGTGCTTTGCTGGTACATCGGAGGGCCGACATGTCCGCTGCATACAAACAAATTACATTTGGCCTGCCCTACTGTCCTTGAAAAATTCCAGGGAGAGAGAGAGAGAGAGAGAGAGAAACAACAAAAAACTGAGTGCAAAAACGCACATGAGCACGAAGAACCGCCTCAGAGGGTATCGCAATACCGCGTGGCGGTCGCGTGCCAGGCTGCGATGGACTGCGCTGACTGAATCTTGCCAAAGATGCGCAAGGGCCTCCTCACCCCCAGCTGCCCGGACAACGTGCGCATGAATCTCACAGCTCCATGTCTTTCTCAGTCTGCCCCTCTTCCTCCTGAACATGGACAGCGCCAGCTCGTGACGTGAAACATCTCCAAAAATATGCAATACATCCTCGAAAAGAGTAGCAACATCATCCCCATACTACCTTTTGACTATTTTTGAAAGATTCCTCCTGTAGATCGGGGGGCGCCCAAGCGGGAGGGGGGAGGGGGGGCGCAAATCGTGGCCGGCTGCGCTGCACGTGCGCGGCCCAAAAGGGGGGCCGGGGGAGTCATGAAATCAGAGGAGGCGCCGTGAAGTCTGGGGAGGTCGCATGGCCCCCCTGGTATCCCCTCCACCCCTGGACATCACCCCCCTCTTGGCCGCCCGGAGGAGGAGGAGGAGGAGGAGGAGGAGGAGGAGGGAGGAGGAGGAGGAGGAGGGAGGAGGGAGGAGGGAGGAGGGAGGAGGAAGGCGCCCCGACTGCAGACGGGCGTGCTTGCCCTCACCCCGGGATTCATGAGCGTGCCGAGCTGAGGGTGGGGAGCCCGGCGCCCCCCTCGCGGGAGCTGCAGCGGCCCCCCGCCCGCCGGACCCGCGCGGAGTTTTAGAGTTCAGGAGCAGCCCAAACATGGGATTGGGATGATTCTCCAACTGTGTTCCCACTGTTTCCGAATATGGTTTCCCCACTTTTTATTTTTCGTCCCAAGTCCGCCCGCAGGAGGACATGCCCGACCTAATTCCAAGGGATGGCTCGCCCGCATCGCCCCTCCATCGTCGTCGACTGCTGTCTACCGCTGGCTGCCGCTGTGTGGTCAGGATCCGCTGCTTGGCCATGGTCAATGACACGAGGTTTGACGCTGCCGAGATCCTGGATGTGGACGTGGATGCGGAGTCAAACACGATTTACAAGCGATTTTATCAGCGTCTGACGGAGGACGAGAGGCGACTGGTGCGGATCTTTCGTGCTGGAGCCGTGTCCTCGGAGACACGAAGGTGTTCGGGGAAGGACTGCAAACTGTGCGGTGCTACATCCCCGAGTTTCAGACACTACTGGGAGGAATGCCCAGCTTACCACTGTTCTCGAGTGGGCATTGCACGTCGTTACGGACTTCCACTGGACTGGTGGACTACTGCACCGCGGATGTTGAGCAAGTCGGGGTGGGTTTGCCTCTCCGACGCGCCGACACCAAACTCACGTGCGACCAAGTTGACGGCGGCTGTCGAGATGGCGCTGATCGTCTTGGGCACCGACATGGACACCAGACTGCATCCTCGAGTGGACCACGAACCGTCTCAAGCGGTTCGTGATGCTGGAGGTTAACTTCTCTCAGGTAGAGCCACTCCAGAGTTAGGGTGCCCCACATACACCATCTTCTTCTGCCGCCATCTCTGCGAACTCCACCGCTATCGTGCTCGCCGCCAGCAGCCTCGCCATTCCCATTCATCACCGCCGGTACCGTCAGCGCCGCCCCCATTGCTGTCGCCACCGTCGCCCTCGCCCTCGTCGCCATGAACGTCATCGCCGCAGTCATCGTCGCGGTCTTCGCCCTCCTCGAGCACGCGCGAGCCAGCAAGCTGCTTGTCCGGGGCAGATCATGGCAGGGCCACCCAGCCTAGCCTCCCCCTGCGCTCGCGCATCCGCCGGAGGACCTGGCAAAAGCCGTGAGCAGAAGCCTTCCCCGGTCTGAACCCTCGGACCCCGTCGCCACCCATTAGCTACCCCTCCTCGATGGGGGCCCTGTGGGCAACAGCCAACATCCATTGGCGGCGCGCAGCGGGGGGTAGGGGGAGGGGGGAAGGCTTCTTAGAAGGAGGCTGCTTCTTAGAAGCCGCGGGCCCTACACTTATAGACGAGGCCCGCGCCTTCTAAGAAGCAGGGGTGCTTCCAAGAAGCCTTCCCCCCTCGCCCTGCCCCCCCCTGCGCGTCGCCAAATCCCACCCCGCGCGGCACCCCCACGGATGGGGCCGTGCGGCCACGCGGCGACGGCACGCTCCCGCCCAGGGCAACCGCAGTGGGCCCGGGGCGCGGGACTCTGCGGGCGGGGCCCTCCGGCCAGCGACGGCGGGGCCCCCCCGTCCACCGCAGGGGACGCGAGACCATGCGGGCGGGGCCCTGTGGCGATTCGCTGCCTCGACCCGCCGCCCCAGGCCGATTCAGCACGTCGTGACACCACTCGGGCTGTCTCTTGGCGCAGGGGGGGGAGAAACGAAGAAACGCGCGCGCTGGAGAAGATCGATTCCAGGATCACTGCCCGAACGTCACTCTTAGGCGACCTTGCAGCTGGTGGGGATCGTCCTCTTTCTCCTCCTCCTCCTCCTCCTCCTCCTCCTCCTCCTCCGCCTCCTTCTCCTCTTCCTGCTGAGGGGAAAAACAAAAGTCCGTCCGGAGAGGCGGCCCATAGCCAGCGGCGAGTAGGCGAAGACGAGGATGCCCATCGCCTGGCCAAGGTGGCAGGAACCACGACATCCGCCTCCCCTCTCCACCTCATCATCTCCTTCTCCTCCCCCTCGTCCTCCTTCCCTCCATCCATCCTCAATGGGACACAAAAAGACATAATGGTACTGTGTGTCCTCCTCGGAAGGACCTGGACATGTAGTACAAACATCTTGTAGCATATCGCTTCCACAGCGGTAGGGCCAGAAAACGCCCACTACCGAACGTAAACTACATGATTTCTCGGCGCACGCGCCTCCCTGTTGGGGGCGACGAACGCATCAGTAGGTTCGGGTAGCGCCGACTCAACCGTATTTTCCTCTCGCTCCTCGCCGACCCATGCCTCCGCGAGCTCGCAGGCTTCTGCCTCGCCTCCGCCCAGATGCCAGGAGGGGGGGGGGAGAACAACGAGGGCCGCCTCTCCCTCCTCCTCCTCCTCCTCCTCCTCCTCCTCCTCCTCCAATTGTTCCCTTTCCTTCCTCTCCTCCTCCTCCTCCTCCTCCTCCTCCTCCTTCTCCTCCTCCTCCTCCTCCTCCTCCTCCTCCTCCTCCCTCCTCCTCCCCCTCCTCCTCCCCCTCCCCTCCTCCTCCTCCTCCTCCTCCTCCTCCTCCTCCTCCTCCTCCTCCTCCTCCTCCCCCTCCTCCTCCCCTCCCCATCCCCCTCCTCCTCCTCCTCCTCCTCCTCCTCCTCCTCCTCCTCCTCCTCCTCCTCCTCCTCCTCCTCCTCCTCCTCCTCCTCTAAGGACAGACGGCCGCGACGACCCCGTCACTCCGCCGGGCGCGAAGGCCGCAGAGCGGGCAGCCCGAGCCCCCCCCCGCGCCTCCCGGGCGACTGGGCGCCCCCGCGCCTCCTGGGCGACTGGGGCCTTCCTGGGCGGCCCCTGGGCGACGGGGGCCTCCCCTCCGCCCTTCGGGCCCGTCCCGGGCGGCCTCCTGGCGCCACGCGGGCCTCCTCCTCCTCCTCCTCCTCCTCCTCCTCCTCCTCCTCCTCCTCCTCCTCCTCCTCCTCCTCCTCCTCCCCGCGCCTCCCCACAAACTCGGGGCGGAGGCGCTCCGCAGCGTTCGGCCTCCGCGGGCCCTCGCCGGGTGCCCCGGGGCCGTCCGCAGGAGAGCTCTGGAGGAGGAGCTGGCACGGGGAGCAACCCAGACATCGGGCGTCTCGAAAAAATCGAGACAAGGGTTTTTCATAGTTTTTGGCCTCTCGGGGCCCTCGCCGGGCGTCGGGACCGTCCAAAACGACTCGGGACGAAAAACCAGTCCCGGGGAAGTGGTTGGGAGGTCGGGGGCCCGCGTCTCGAAAAAATCGAGACGTCGGATGTCTGAAGGTCCAGGCCTCCATGCAGGGGGGCCTGCACTGAGAAAGCAGGAAAACACCGGGAGTCTGGGTGGGGGGCACGTCCCGGAGGAAAGCGCGGCGCCGGGGAAAAAGAGGAAAAAGATGTACGAAGTCGCTCCGCTCCTGGACGGCCGCATCGCGTCGGCAAGGGGCGGCATGGGGTCGGCACCGCGTTGGCGACGTCGCGCGACTACCCCGGCAAGCGGCACGCGCACTGTCTATCCGAAGGCCGCCCTCGTTCGCTTTGGCGGCGGCGGCTGGGCTGCGGCGGGAAATGCTCACTCCTGGCACACACACACACACACACACTTGTGGAACCGATTTCGCAGGATACACAACAGAAACATGAACCAATCTTCAAGGGCAACCACCCCTTGAAAAAAACAACGACATCTCAGCTAAACCCGTAACCCTCCGCATGCGAAATTTGAACAACAGCCGAAACTCGATAGACTGACCGCACAGTGTATTTTGGCAAGAAACTCAAAAATAAACAAATCGAAAAGTTTTGATCGACAGAACGTAACCGAGAAAACGTTTTTTTCTGTTTAAACTGAAGAGGTGAGCATGCATCTGCGACGCAACATTCTCTCAAACATATACGTAGTTATAAGATACCGGAGAGATTCCCCGATCCTAATCTTTTGAGGGCTATAGGGCACTATGGCTATCAGGCTATAGAGCCATAGGGCAGTAGGGCTATGGGGATATAGGGCCATGGGGCTATGTGGCTGAAGGCTATGAGGCTATGAGGCTAGAGGGGTATAGGGCCATAGGGCTATAGGCCTGTAGGGGTATAGGGCTATAGGGCTATATGGCCAGGGATATAGGGCTGTGGGGCTATAGGGCCATGGGGCTATGGGGCTCTGGGGCTCTGGGGCTATGGGGCTATAGGGCTATGAGACTATATAGGGCGGTGGGGGTCCTTCTCCTCCTCCTCCTCCTCCTCCTCCTCCTCCTCCTCCTCCTAGTTGTAGAGATAAACCACGGTGTCAGAGGCCTGGGGTGGCCTGTTTCCTCTCGTCCTCGATCATCCTCGAGCGTTCCTCGGCGGGGCAGAGGTCCCCAGAAGAACGGCTCAGAGGGAGGCCGGCAGGGCGAAAGGCGGCGCTCCTCCACTCGCTTTTGGGGCCCAGGGATGGCCCAGGACGAGGACGAGGAGGATAAGGATGAGGATGAGGAGGAGGAGGAGGAGGAGGAGGAGGAGGAGGAGGAGCAGTGCAAACCCAAGAGTCATCAACGATGTTGGAATACATCTACACCCTCCCTCCAAGCTCCCTCTTCATAGCCCCCATACAACGGTTCATTTCTACTGAAGGAATTGCCTTATTAGAAGACAACAGTTTGAAGCCCCTGAAGAATGCCAAAACATGACTCGCGGGACTCCAACGCCACGGATCAACCTGACTGTTGCGTCTTGACGATCCTCAATCGTGCCAGAAAGCCATTCCTGGACCTTCAACACCGCGAATCAACGCAATTGTGGCGCCCTCATATTCCTGAATCTTTCCAACACGCCCTATTTCTCGTACGCTGATCATGGGAACCCGTGAAACTTCTGCGAGTTTTTTTGTTTAACGAATGTGCGCAACGCTACAGCGAGAACCACATTTTGACAACCACCCGCCCTCAATCCGTGAAACCCTTGCAAGTGTAGCAGACGAATGCGCGCGGCGCTAAGCCGAGTGCCACATTTTGAAAAAGGAGCCGCCCTCAATCCGTGCAGCTCCTGCACATGTTCAACACGAATATGTGCGCGGCGCTGGAGCGAGAACCGCATTTTGAAAAGGAGCCGCCCTCCATCCGTCAAACGATTGCAATTGTACAAACAAATCGCATGTGCGCGGCGCCAACTCGAGAGCCACATTTTGAAAACCACCCGCCCTCAATCCGTGAAGCTCCTGCGAATCTTAAAAAGGAACGCACGCGGGGCTAAGGCGAGAACCACCTTTTGAAAACGACCCGCCCTCAATCCTTGAAGTTCTTGCAATTTGTTTAAAGCGAATGTGCGCGGCACTACGGCGAGAGCTACATGATGAAAACGGCCCGCCCTCAATCCGTGAAGCTGTTGCCACCTTTTAAGCTTCAAGGTCATAAGCGGTGAGGAAGTCTCAGGCGAAACGCCCGGCTCGCCCTAAAAGCAAGCCTCGGGGTGCGACGGGGAGAAGTCATTCACAAGGTACAGGAATGGAGGAGGAGGAGGAGGGGGAGGAAGAGGAGGAGGAGGAGGAGGAGGAAGAGGAGGAGGCTGAGGAGGGAGGAGGAGGAAGGAGGAGCAGGAGGAGCATGAGGAGGAGGGAGGAGGAGGAGGAGGAAAAGAATGCCTTCGCCTCGAGCGAGCCGGCATACTGCGCCCCCCACGCCTCGAGGGCCTCGCCCAGCTGGCACGCCAGGGCCGTGCCGCCCGCGGCGCCGCCGCGGCGGCGGAGCACGAGGCCGCCCGGAGGCGCGCAGGAGGGAGCAAAGGGCGAGCTCGAGGGGGCCCGGGGGCATACAAGTAGACAGACACAGATCCCAGGATTCCTCCTACAGGGCAGTTTTTAATACATTGGATTTTCAAATATATAGGATGTTTAATACATGATTAATGTATGAATAAATGTATGCACGAACTCATCGTTTTTAATACTGACCCCCTGCATTTTTAATACATGATCCGCACGCGGAGCATGTATAAAAAAACGGCACTGTATGCTTTCCTATATTTGTTCTAAGTTTTTCTGTTCGTCTTCCCCCCCGCTCCCCACAATTTCCCCTATTTTCCTGGGGGTCGACGAACTATTGTGTCTGTGTGTTTTCTCCCTCCTGGGATGAAGTCGGGCGTGTCCCCCTGCAGGGGGATTTTCGACGAATAAATAATTCAAAAAAAAGACAAGTGGCACGCGTGCCCTGGCTCTTGCACAAAGGAACTGCGATGGACTGGAGGCCCGCGCCTCCTTCTTCCAGGGGGGTGGCCCAGGGGGAGTGGCCGAGGGGGACGAGTCACGACGAACCACGAACCACGACGAAAAGAAGGGGGTGGCCAAAGGGGGGTTGGCCCAGGGGAGCTGGGGCTCGGGGGTGGCCCAGGGGAGCTGGGGTGGCCCAGGGTGGCCGAAGGGGACGAGCCACGACGAACCACGAACCACGACGAAAATAAGGGGGGGTCCCAAGGGGGGGTGGCCCAGGGGAGCTGGGGCTCAGGCTCAGGGGAGGGGCGGAGGGGGACGAACCACGACGAACCGCGAACCACAACGAAAATAAGGATGTCCGCGGGCCAGGCGGGCTGTCCTGGGAAGCCTGGACGGAGCAAGCCTCCGAAGGGTGGGTGGCCAAGGGGAGCTGGGGCTCAGGCTCAGGGGAGGGGCCGAGGGGGACGAACCACCACGAACCACGAACCACGACGAAAACAAGTGGCACGCGTGCCCTGGCTCTTGCACAAAGGAGCTGCGAAGGACAAGAGGCCCCCGCCTCGGTCTTCTAGGAGGGGGTTCGGTCGGTGTAGATGTTCATCCTGGATGCAGTTTTGATAAGAGTGGGGTCCGAAAAAACTCCTGGGGTGTAGGCCACAGGTCTGCTGTCTGGACGAGGACGACGACGAACAACGAAGCACAAACCACGAAAATAAAGGGTCGGGGGCGAGGGGGGCTGGGGCCAGGGCCGCGGGAGCCGCAGCCAGGGGGTGGAGGCG